TATACTCGATTCCGTCAATGATGGTGAATGTAAGTCAAGAAAATTCGGTGAGCTTTTGCTCTATTGGCCTTCGCCTTCCACATCATGTCATGACTTATTCTCAAGGGTCAACTGCAACTCTATGTCGAATGGCACTGTAATAATGATGTCAAGATTCCTCAAACAAGGTACCTTAATTCCTGTGCTCCTTGCAACGACATCTGTTTTTTGAGGGGCTGAAGAAATTATCTTACTAGTACTCCATTATTTGCACCTGAAATAGCGCTATTTTTTCTTTTGTGGCTAACGGCCTGTAGAGTAGTTCCTCATTTTCACTCATAGTATTTCAACCGTTACCGCGCCATTCGTGATCCTGCAGAGAACAGTAGTTGAATACAGTAGTTGCGACAGTTTTGTGACCTTCTCTAGAAACGTTGCTTTTTTTGTAACTGATGACAATATCCCAATCGCTAGAGTATTTCTAGAGTTCCACTCTTCAGGATCTTTATAGATTTGTAGAAGAGACTTTGCTTTATTGTTTAACAACATATATGTATAATTTTTACACAGTGATATCTTAATTTTGAAAATGTTTAGAGTTGAAACTTTAATAGAATAGCCCTTTGAGAAAACAAAATTTGATTTTTAAAAGTTTGCATGAAATAGTAGCGGCCGCTAACATGTACCATACAATGGGGAACACAATCGTGTTCTTTCTACTGAGCGAAATTCGGCTTGTTTACTTTCGTTTTCGACACATGAGCCTTGTGATGAAAGGAATTTAGAGACGTTTGTGTTATGGGCCCCATAAAATCGGAATTGCATCCTTATAAAACAAATCCTTTGTAGATCGTTGTATCCTTTTGACAAAGGTTTATAGATCCTAACGGATTTTTCGCAATTAGTAAAATTCACTGTGAGCTGAGATGTGTTGATTGAAAGATGAAAGAGGTCATTATTTCCACATCGTATGACTCCAATAGAAGTGACGTCCTCGCGTAAGTCTTGATAACAAATGAATCATTCATTGATTTTATCTCTGATATGAAAACTCTCAGGAGACAGATGATTCATCGGTTCATGGTAGGAGATGATTTCGAATTGGTCAAAAAGAAATTCTGCGCAATGTGCAGCCTTTAAATGGTAGTTAAATTCTTTAGAGACGATCCTTTTGCGGTGGTTAATCAGCAGCCTTTGCCTTTGGGTTATTTCATAGAGCAGGCGTAGAAAGCTATAGGATATCACATGGGAATTGGTGCGTTTCTTATGACCAACGTAAAGTTTTAGATGCTATAAAAGAGATGGAAAATACTTTGTTTTTGAGTGGCAATCACATCACCTTACACTCAAATAAGAGTGCTGATTTTAATACCTCGTTTTACGGGCATTCAAAAAGCCCCACTGCATTCTGGACACTTTCATTATAGACTTCGTAAAGAACCGTTCAAGCCAGGACGTTCTCAAAAATGTTCCACTGGTTAGTGTTGAAATCGTTATCACTGTCGTTGAGGTTCGAATTGGGTTCTACGAAAGAGTTCCGGTGCATTGAGAAACAGAAAACATTTCCAGTTCAGTAAGCAGTTGCTAAATCTTGCTTATCTGTGTAGACGCGTTAAAAATGTGTATCGACCATTGGCCGAAGGTCCCGATTCCGTCTTCTCTAATCCATCGTTTATCAACGTTGTTGTCAAATCGATGTTGTGGAATCTGAACATTCCCGAACCACAAACCAAAACACGCCACAAATACCAGTTTATTCTGAAGTCCTAGTCACAGCTAGAAAACATGTATGTATTTGAAATATAAATGTAGTACGACTGAAATATTTCATATTTTTTTGAGGCTAGGCTTAAGAATCCTGTAAATTAGATTCGTATCCGAAGGATTAAATCGTATGAGCCAAAATGGAACACTTTTGACTAAAATACATTCTATCTACAATCGCAGTCTAGTTTCTTGAGAGATTTTTCACGTGTGGACTTCTTTCATATGGCCATCTCCTTGGTTGCCTAACTTATTGCCCTTCGTCCTGCACATAATGAAAAGTTTCCTAAAGCATTTGCCAATTAGTTAACTAATTTTAACAACCTGCTTAATGTAAGTACGTATTTATGGTGATGAGTTCTCAATATGTGATGTGAATATATGCGATGCAGTGCTTATGCTTAACCTAATACTTCCTGTACTTAATAACCAAGTACTTCCTAATTCATAGCGTTTTAGTTTATGAAAAGTGCAATGCCATAAAGAAACTCTCGATGAGTCTAGAGATTAATAAAATACGAATGCTCTTAACAGTCCTAAAAGTTTCATTAAACAATTAAGTGTGGAGAGAGCTCATAAACACTATACTTTATTGCAGTTGATTTCACCATAACCATGTTTTTGGTACAAGGGAAATAACATCCCAACCTATGCAGGAATTCCCATGACTCTCGTCAGCTCACAACTCAGTACTATTAGGTATTTCAAAACAGTCTAGAATATGACATTTCCGAGCAGAAATTAGTATGCCATTCTACATCGCTGACAGCTTTCCTCACTTCTGTTCGAAAATCGTCCAATTTTTAAAAGACCAGTCTTCACCCTACTGTGGGGATCCCAGCACTTCTTCCATTCGGTTCAGTTTCCTCGTATCCATCATCTAAGATTGTCATTCAACTCGTGTGTGGGTTCGGCTGTTGATTCAGGAGTTTCTTCGTTATGAATGTCACTGAATGCAAGTTGATTCTCCCTCCGATCCTGGGATAGTCGTGCTAGAGCGTGCCCACGTGGATCACAAGGAGTATACTGTTTCCACACAATTCTCGTAGAGATCTCCCAGCCCAAGAGGGATGAGAGGTTTGTTGAGCTTGAGCTTTCAGCCCATGAATCACAGGGTTAGCCATCACCAATTAGCCTCCATCAAAGTTCATCACTATTTAATAAAAACATTGGTAGTGGTAGCGACTTGGATAGCGGCTAGATGTATTCTCGCATTTTTGCTACTTCATATAAGTTCTATTTCATCTTTCTGGAAAAAAATTGGACAAACTGGAGGGACAAAAACGGAAGTTGAAAATAGCGTAGACGTAAATCCCAAGACCGACATTCTGTTAACCTCGGCATTAATTGATAATTCAATGTTTTTCTTCAATAAGCAGACACGAGGTTGTCTGCTTATTGAAGAAAAACATTGAGTGTAGACGTAATCGCTGATTCATCAGTGTTGTCTATAATCCAGTTAATCGTTGAATAACTCGAGCGGACACCAAGTTTCCACTCATCCGTGTTGCCCGTAAGGGCTGCTTAATGGGCTAGACTCGCTCGACAAACATGAAGAATATCACACTGATCGTATGAGGCCCGTTATTTTCATTCCTTTTAGCGATAGGGTAACAGCGGTTGGCCTACAGGATTTTTCCGTCTGTAAAGCCTGAGTGTACTTGACGGCGTATTACTACGGTTTCATGAAATCCGATCCGCCCTCTTTCACCTACTTCCCACTCACTCGACCGGAGCCACATAGTGAACTTTGCGCGCCGGATTCATTCCATATACACGCACGCACAACACCCACTCATATATGTCTGGAGGTGGATAGTTACATCTATGTAGAATTCCTACAGAGACGTAAGGCAAGCAGTCCATTCCTTAGATTAGCTATATATCAGGAAAAATACTTTATGATCGCTTTTGGTCCACTTTGAGCTCGGTAAAATTCCTTAGCAAAACCGTTCATGATGCTTTTCCCCTCGGAACACCGTCATACAGAAATGCTCTTTTTTGTCATTTTGAACGACTGAAATTTGCCGTAATTTGTTTCCACCCTTGACACAGCTTATATTCTCAACTATTCGATATGCTACGATTCATTTTCCGATTCCTCGGCTTGCATTCCTAGTCCAAGATATTGCATTGGAGCTACTAAGTGTTCATTAAGAATCGTACTTCTGAACCTACAATTGTGTCCCACTTTCGGCTACTCAACTAGTCGATAGACTCGACAAACTGAATTACTAGTGAAACAACCACAATGATGCTGAGATATTTGCAAAACTTCGGACCGCACCTGTCTACGGTGGGGAACGGACGCGCTATTGTCCTTTCCGAGGAGTAACACGCTCACCACCACACCATATGGGTCCTTCGTTTCGCCTGTCTCTCAGCTAACTCAATCGATCACTGCCATCAACAATCACTCATCAACGGGATTGATCTGGGGAGCCCAAATCGGCATTGAGCCCAGTTAAGCTGGGGCTATAGTTGAAATTCACAATGTTGACTTTTTATTCAATGTCTTTTACCAGCTTTCTTGGCAGGGCATCATTTGTGAAACAACCTTAGTGATGCTCTAAAGTAAATGAAAAGTCACCATTGTGAATTTCAACTATATCTTCAACTTAAATGGGTTCAATGCCGATTTGTGCTCCGCAGATCAATCCCGTTGACGGGTGATTGGTGATGGCAGCGTTAAGTAGGAAAGTAGCTGAGAAACGCAGAGCAAGGGCCTCCGTGGGGCAGTGTGTAATGCACGAGCGCCCGGAAAGGGAAGTCGTGGTTTGGTCTGGCTCAGTGTCCAAGTTTTGCGAATATCTCAACATCGTTGTAGTTAAAATTATGCTGTTGCCAAAAAATTCCAAAACAGAAGATATAACTCATCCCATAGGAATTACAATACTAGTTAATGTAAGTATTTTTTTTGCTCGGTAGTGAACTTTAAAACAAACAAAACAAACAAAAGACAAAAGAGAATTTTTCGTATAAGAGATGTGGTGAAAATCATTGTACCACATATTTATTTGTTCAAAGTAGCAGAGTTGGTGCCGAATCAACAAGCGTGTTAGCAAATCAGCATGGATTTTCCTCGGAGTCATTTTTGTACTGATGTTAAATTCGACAACGAATTTCGTCAGAAACATTGTTTTATAGTGTTGTACCTTCAATAGTGTCCTACTAGTCTGAAGCGTTTCTGAAGCAACGTGCCCATAATTTACCTTATTATCAATAATTTCCTATATGATTGAGCTGAGATAAAGTTATTATAAAAACCTGTTCGGCTGGCCTTTCGACGTCTTCGTCTCCTTCGGAATCGGGCTGATCTGAGTCCATGGTTCACAGTTGTTCCTTCTTCCGATGTGGGTCTTCATGATCACAGCGAGTCGAATCCAGTGGCTGGATCCATGTGGAGCACCGCTCGAACGGGCAACGTCGCATGGCGGTGCTGTTCCATACAGGACGGGTGCCGATCGATTGTCGCCATCCATTGTGATCCGCTTTTCGCGGGCAACGCATCCTGTAGGAGTCGGTGGTTCCCTAGCTAGTTGCTGTTGGTGGATGGCTAGCGTTTCGGCGATTTCGCTTTCCTCAGAGCCTGGACGTATTTTATGTAACGATAGCCTTACAATTCGGTGAAATATCTATAGTATTAATATGAAGGCCTAAGTATAGATAAACACCATATTGATCAAAAAACTACTCACTGTGCTGTTGCGAGTGGAACTGCCCGCGTGTTGTCCACGTGGGATAACGAGCGAGACCCACCCAGCTCAAAAAATCAACTTGAAGTAAGGTGCCAGATCACGTGTGATAGTGAGGCATTCGTCTTTCCGGTTCATCTTTGGGTTTTTGAAATTTATCTAGAATGCCTCGAGAGTTTTGCGCGTTGATGTTTTCGCTTCCTGCGCTAGGATCCGCACAGTCACTTCAAAATCATTGCCTTTGCCAACCATTGCGCCTTTGTGCTCTATGTGTACCTAGAAAAGTGGTTTGACGAATTTTGAATTCCCACCTAGGTGTTCTTTTATGTGGAAACAAAGTGGTCTATCCATTTCCTCAATGTATTCTTCACCGCATGTTTTACATGAGGTCAAGTATATTGTACCTGAATTCATGCAAACCTCGTCTCTCTCGTTTGGACAAATTGCAATTTTTTTGAGCTCTACGAGCGATCATAGAGGCTGTTGCGAACCAGTTGATGGCGTGGGATATTGGGTGGGAGGTCAATGACTGGTACATAACTTTCAAGACCGCTTTTTCTTAAGCACTCTCTTAATGCCGTAACTTAAAACATTGTTCAACACATACGCAATTAGGTCTGGCACGAGGTGTGCATTGGATTCGAATCATGCGGTCCACTTTACCCACTCTGACCGTGCTTCATTCTTATGTCCTTCGTTCTATAATTCCCATTTTTACTGTGTATTTCCGCGAGTTTTTATGCTCTTTGTATCCCCTATGTTCTGCTGTGTGTCTTTGCATGGTTTTGGGACATTTTCCACTCTTGTGTGTGAGAAAAAAACTCGCCAAATTTCTAAACACGTTTCTATCAACTTTTGATAAGCCTTTATAGGATATGGAAAGTATACTTAGTGCTTTTTTAATACTCACCTATTTGGTACAATAACTATGGTTCGTCGTATTTCCTGGAATAATCACTCATATCTCAAAATCTGGTAGAAATATTACAGGCTTTAAACATCTCAATGCCAGACGAATTGAGGGATTTATTTTCAATTCACCACTCACATAGCGTGAACAAGGTCTGATGGCGTTGCAGAAAATGAGGAACTTGTTGTAGTTTCCGTCCAGGAGTATTTTTTTCTAATTTTATTTTATATGACTCGTCTTCACGTCTACTGTGCGTATTACAGCACTTCTCACATTCGATTCGTTTCCTCGCATCCACTGTCCACGAAGATCTTCCAACTTTTACGTGTGGCCTCGATTGCTGCCTGAAGATTTTCATTTCGTCTTGAATGTCGTAGAACGCTTGTCGAGCAATTCTCTCTGGAGTTCTGAGATAGCCGGGTTAGACCGTTCCCAGTTGGATTTCAAAGAGTGGTTTTTTCTCCCACACAACCCGGTACTAATTTCCCGACCTCGGAGGGATGAAAGGCTTGGTTAGCCCGGAGAGCAATGGAACTATCACCATGCTCGTGGTGATGTACATCACTTACACTGTGCTATCCACCCACTGAGTCAAAGAGTCGTAAGAAAGTGAATCGAAGGATGACGGCGAACGTGGTGATGGTGTACGCCGTGAGTAGTCAAATACTGTGGCGCCTCATGCGCGCTGGATTTTCGATGATAGTATACTTAGAGTGAAGCAGCTTTTCCAGCTTGGGTGTGCAGAACGAAAGCATTTCTGTGAAAAAATCATGGCTGATATTCGAGAAGTTCTTGTGGGACCAGCAGAGAGACATGGACCAGAGAAGGGTGACTCATGCTGACCAAAAGATAATCCGAAGAGACAAGAAGGTTCACTGGTCGTTACCTTCAGATGGGAATTATTGAACTGCTATGAATGAGCGATTATTGGAGTAGCTATTCAATTTTTGCATCCAATTCTTTTGGGTCCAAAGTAGTAACAAGGTACAGATTTGAAACGCTGCTGGCTCAATTCCATTCCACCAACAATGCAGCATATGATGGAGATATAAGTTGTACAAGATAAATTCACTTATTAGCGCAATCAGTAGGCATTGCAACGGAATACAAAGACTAGTCAAAGAGGTGTGTGTGCATCGAAGAGATCTTCGCACTCTTTTGGGGGCTAGTCTCATTCGGTCAATATCTGCCACTTAAAAGGAATAAACATAGACTAAAGTTATGAACAAATGGCTGCACACAAAACATTATGGTGTAGGCAAGTAGAGACGGCTTGAAAACAGGAAGTGTAGGTGAGTCGGTTACCACGAACGATTTATTGGATCAAGAGGACACCTGTTCATTGGTAATTTGTATACGATTGTGTCTTTGGTTCAGAAACTGCTCAAGAATAAGGCTCATCTGAATGGCACATGAGGGAAGAACTTTCCAAGCAGCTTTTCCGACGAAAGATGAAAAGACATTTCGAGAGCCCACAGAATGAGAGCGCTTAATGGCACTTAAGTGGAAAGAGAAACGGGACGTGATCCTTCCCGCTAAGTCATTGGGAATACGAAATATGGTGATGATACCAATAAATGGGCTTTCTCGTGTATTTCAATTTGATACAAGCAGATAAGCCATTTACTCTTTATCTGTTTCGTCTTCCTTCCTTTCACTGGATGAAACCCCATCTTCGAAAAGGAAAAAAGTGGAGTCGTTGTGTTGGCTCATATACGGACCTAGGAAAATCTCGTTCACATCTGCTGCAGAAATTGGCAAGCAGGTAAGCTCTATGTGTAACTAATGCAATAAACCTATTGTTTAGAATGTCTCAATAATATCCACCAAAGAGCAAACTAGAAATTTCGCAGATTGTAAAGCTTAAGAGGTTGTCAAGGATATGCAACTTATAGGATGAATATCCTTGCAATTATATGTGAATTGTGCGTAAAGAGGTTCAATGAGAAGGTTGTGGCTGCCGTTCATGTATAGATGGTAAATTGTACATCGTAATTGAGTGCAAATTACAATGTACTTTTATCTACTGCCTATTCTTCTCATTTATCAGGGTATTATGTGAAATAGCGCCACAAGGATGCTGAGATATGATAACAAAACTCAGAACCACAGGGGCGTTTCGTGCCCTCGTGGATTACCCTTGCCAGGGCTCACATGCTATTCGCTTCATCACCGAGGCCCTTGCTTTACATTTCTTTCACTCAGCCAATTGTTGACCTTAACACATGAGTCGTCGGAAAGGGAAATTGCGAGTCTGAATCTCATCTGAGATACCGACTTTTGCTCATATCTCAGCGTCGTTGTAGTTGAATGTGTAATAGTTGTATAATTCGCAGATTATGATGTAAATGTAGTATAAAACTCGACGTGATTACAAAGATCTACTTCGTAAGAAACAGCTTCTATGAACACCTTACTGCTAATCGGAAGAACGCTGTGGCCCCACCACTTCAGTTATAGTAAAAATATGTGACAACTTTGTGTATGCCTAGGAAAAATTCTAAACACTGTTTATCAGTGCCAAGGCTAAATGCGGTTTACTACCAGAAATTTGATATAAACGTTTTCTTGTGTAATGCTCGCAATATTAATGAAATGGTGTGAGAATACTTTACACTTGATTTTTGAGCGGCCCGTCCTCACTGGTTGTGCGGCCCTCAGCATAATCTCCATTTTTCGGAGATTCGCTGGTTAAGCCACTGTGGTTCCTTGGAATCCCGAGGCCAACCTGGGCAAAGTCTGCCCCAGGTCTACATCACCACAGGCAGTCGCAGCCCTTGTGGATCAGAGAAAGATTTGCCACCATGCGACTAACTTGATACCAGGACGGTGGTGGATCCTGGTATTGGTTTACTCTTAGTTAGGCTTCATGATGGACAAGTTGGACTCCTTTTCAGCTTGGGAGATTCTGCCAGGAAGATGGATCTCCCTGATGTACAACAATGTCCGGCACCCAAGAACACCTAGCCACGATGAGGCGGTAAACCGTTGGGAGGTGGTACGAAAATAAGAGTTAGAAATGTGAACTCTTCAGATAGTTCACCTATTCACTACAATCACCTCTAAAATAGTTTGCTGAATGAGTTACTAACTTTTTGTGGCGTCAAACTGTCTTAATTTCCGAATTTCAAGGTTTAAGTAAAGCACACACGTTAGAGGTCTCCACGTCAGACGAAACTCGTGGGAAAAGTGTTCTTTTCATTTTATGTACAGAATAGCTTTTAGCTGAAGAAGTTTAACACAACATTTGTGTTAAGTGAGCTGTAGATTGAACACGAAATATTTATCGAAAACTTTCTACCGCAGCAAGACCTCCGAAGAGAACACGCATTGGTACCAATGCGCACTGTCGTAGATGTGTTAACACATTTTAGTTTATATTTTGATTCTTTTAATTTTGCTCTTCTTAATCAGCCATTTCACTTGCAACTTATTCGATCTATTATATCATTCCTGCAAGCGAACAATAATAGCCTAATTACCTGCTAAGATCTAATGATTGCGTAGGGGCAGTTACTCTGACTTCACCGAAAATGAATAGTTGATGAAGATAGTTGTTTTTCCAAAGTTGTCAAGGCGATATACTTATTGTTAGGCTTTCCTTTACATCAAGCGTGTGTTAGCACTGATTCTACACTATTAGAGATGCTCACCTTGCTTTGTAAATCAGGGATATGCTAACGAAGTAGCGATCGTTTCTACATCTATCTGTATACCAATAAGCGAACAACAGCTGCAACAGCTAACTTAGAACTGAAATCTTGGCAATTTGAAGAGGATTTTTGTGGTAAGTTTTCTTTTGGAAGTTATGAGGGACGCCTTCATAGAATTTCGAACCAAATGGTCCTTTTTCTAATCGTTCTATTTCAGTTTTCGACTTTCAGTTCCAAAGCATCTCGAACACTGTAGGCTATTTCCATCCGGGCTTGGATTTTGGTTTCCTTTTTCATTGATTGCACCCGTGCGGGAGCGAAATTCGCTTTTAACCTGTTAATCGTCAAATGATTCGTCAACAGACTTTGGTAACTCTCTATTCGTCTTTTTGTTGCGTAGAAGAGATAACTAGTTGATTATCTTCGAGGGATACGAAAACAATTGTACTTGTTGTCGAGGTTCCTCGTGAGAAAGTCTAACCATCTGGTCGATGGTCTTTCTGTAGAGCGACTAACATCCGTGGGACCAGGGCGCTAGTAGCTCTTGCCACCGGTTGTCGTTTAGCGACGCATCGCGTTTCTGACCTATCCGGTTTCTCAGATTCTGACGTATGCCGCAGCGTCCATAATCTTCGATCGTTGACGTATATCCAACCTCCGTATTTCCTTTCTCACTTATGTGGCAAGGCGAAATTCCTATCCTCAAAACCACCTGCTTTGCTTTTGATTTTTGGTGATGTCTTTTTTTTTCGAATTTTCTCAACCAACTCAGTCGTTTGCACCTATGTTCACAGTTATCTCCGTTGTTTGACTTTTTATGATATTATTATTATCTTTTGAATTTGAACTTGATTCCGCCATTTCAATCCAGTTTCTTACCACAGCCAAGTAATCGGTAGTTGTTTTGCAGGAAATGGAGCCGAATGGTTCGTGGACTTTGCTGACCAGTGGTGTTACGAACGATACCTGGCAGTCGAGGCCTCCGATAAAACACGCCGGACTGCTGCTTATCGCGATTCCGGTGGTGACGATCCTCGGCAATCTGCTCGTTATCGTGTCGGTGCTTCGCTACCGTGCGCTTCAGACCGCCATCAACTTCCTCATTCTCGGCCTGGCTGTCGCTGATCTCCTGGTCGCCCTCTTCGTCATGCCGTATGCCGTCTATGTACACGTGAGTCCAATTTGCACCCCTATTTTGTAGATTTGACCGAGAATTCGATCACGGGGTAGTGTGAATCGTTCTATTTAACGCATAGTGAGTTGAACATAATGAAAAAGAAATCACTTCAGGTTACTTTATCGCCTATAGATTTGTTGTTTTCTTCCATTTTTCTGTGAAAGATAAACAGATATCCCGAACTGTCTAGCTGTGTAATAATTTCTAGAATTATGCGAACGTATGTTTGAATCTTCGCTGCACACTTTCCTCATCATGCCAATCTCATTAACACAGGCATGTAGAGAGCTGGCAAATGTATTAATTTAATTTCATTTTACGTTGAGTTTCTAACTGACCTCAACCAACAACGGTCACGTATTTTTCAAGTGTTGCTAAAAATAAGTTTGATCTCGCGCCACATCTTAGTGATAATCCTACTAGGAGACAATTTTTCAACGAACATCGATTGGGCGTCTTTATGGAGTAGAATGGTTCGGTGATGGACTTATGGGATAGGAATCCTGTAAAAAAAAAACCGCGTTTGCGGTTAGAATACGGCAAAATGTGTTAAGATAACCCCAACGATGCTGAGATATTCGCAAAACTTGGATCCCGGGCCAGATTGAACCACGATTTCCCTTTCAGGGGCTTGCGCATTACACACTGCACCATAGAGGCCTTTGATTGTAATTCATAGAATACCGTGAAAAATTGTAGTAGACAGACAATAAAGGGTTAACATTGTGTTAACATCTATAATTTTTTGAAAGAGGAGCACGGCCAACATCCACTGACTGGGTGTCTGCTTTTTCCATGTTCATGAAATCTTGTTGAGAGAATCTTTGCTATTTGTTCGCACATTGGTCTCAGCCAATCTAGCTTCCCCATCGCAGATTGAACTCAATAAGGATCGCGTGTGGAGTGGCACTAAATCGTTTATACCAAGTCACTAACGACCCTGAGTGAATCATTGGGCGACATTCTGAAGAAATGCAGCGTTTCTCTTTGACAGACGAAACATCAGTCAAACGGAGATCGTCCGAAGCAACGAGAAATACCATGTCGGTCATAAAACAAATCATTTTGTGGATTCTATAGAAGGAAAAGGAATAGGAATAAACTTGAGAAATAAGAACTTGACTAACTTGATAAGTTTTTAGAGAAGAAACAAACGCTGTGTGGTAGAGCTCAGTTTGAAGTTAAATAGAAATCACAGCTGGTTTTCTTTGCGTTACGCCAGTTTTGGATTTCTTTCTAGACACATTTTCTCCCCTGAAAATTCTGGAATAAGTTCGTATGCCCAGTCAACCTCGATTTTTGTCTATCAAATGTTACATGATTTGGCCACTCTCTCAATTTAAGCTTTGGAAAGATGTGGAAAAGAATTCTTGCGCAGTAATTACATCATTTTTGTTATAATTCACTTGTCCATAATAATCTCACATTTTTTAGTCGCTTCTATGACATAAATACACTTCTAGTAGGATAACTACCTGAATAACTCTTTCCAATGCTAAGTCGAAATGATTGGTGGAACCACATCCATGTTGGCTTCTGAGTTTAAATCAATACTGGTCGAGTCGTGTTTTTCACTCCGGGATCTGAATTTCGCAACTGTTCGAATATAACGAAATCTTCCAAAGATCAAATGTCACTACTTCTTCTTCATGTGCCACCATTTCGGTAAACACGAGTTTGCAGACTTACACTGGAACGACACTGGAACGTAGCGTTTCGCTGAAATATCAGATTTGAGAAGGCGACTGCATGTTTTCCTTCAGCATTGACGCAACGAAGTGACCTCTATAGACGTCATAGAATTCGGAAATAGTGGTTTTCAATTAATATATCGCGGCTCGTAATGAATTCCATCGATTGTAGTGAAAGCTGCTAGAATCTGCCACTCTTTGCTTACTGGATGGGGAATCGCTTGTTTTATCACAATGAAATTCTAGCTTTCGGAGTCCACGAAACATATTTCCTCCACTTTATTGCTTCAAGGTTCAGATTTAGAAAGCGAAAGCAAATGGACAAGCGAGATTTTTGTTCGGCAAAATGCGCTGCTGTTCCCACTGCTTCCTTTATGTTTGCTGCTGCCAATGTTCAGTAGGAAATTTCAAAATTCTGGATTTCATTTCTTCCATCTTGAAACTCCTATTTATAAAAGTATTTCGATTTGAAAGAACACTGTACAAAAAGTATACTTGATACCTACTTGATACCTGAACCACCCGTCTTCACTGGTTGTGTGGGCCCCAACATAATCACCATTTTTTGGAGATTTGTTGGTTAAGCCATTGTGGTTCTTAGGAATACCGAGGTTAGCCTGGTCAAAGTCTGCCTCAGGTTTTCACAGCCACAGGCAGTGGCAGCTCTTGTGGATCAGAAGGAGTTTTTCCACCATGCGACTTTGATGTCAGGACGATGGCGGATCCCGGTATTGGTTTACTCTTAGCTGGGCTTCCTGAGGGAACCGCCAGACTCTTTCTCAGCTTAGGAGGCCCTGCCGCAGGGACGAATCCCCCGCTGCCGTTTGGAGGGTATAAAAATTATACATGTGATTAATTTAATAAATCAGAACCTTTTCTATATAAATATAAAGTCTCGAGCTCTCGAAATACTTTATTTTCGTGGTCGAACAGTTTACTGCCTCGTCGTGGCTTGGAGGTGTTACAGGGTGTCGGGCTGCGTTGTACAGCGAGGAGATTAAACCTTCTGGCAGGTCTTTCAAGCTTAGGAATTTAGCGTTTCCATCAGGAAGGCCAGCTAAGAGTAAGCCAACAGCAGGATCGACCGCCGTCCTGGTATCAAATTAGTCGCATGTTGGCAAATTTCCCTCTGATCCACAAAGGCTGCGACTGCCCATGGTGGTGAAGACCTGGAGCAGACTTTGGCCAGGCTGACCTCGGAATTCCAGGAAACCACAATGGCCTAACCAGCAAAGCTCCGAAAAAGAGATTATGCTGGGGACCACACAATCCGTGAGGACGGGCCATTCAACAATCCGAGTAAGTATAGAAAAGCCGGCTTTCTCCCATATAGGCTAATCTAATTGCCTTTGATTCTGTTTGATGAGTCATCCATGGGAATGAATGCTCAGTAAATCAGCATCTTCTACTCATAGCTCCTATAGGAATAGTTTTCTAAGAAACACCGATATTCGTAGCTAAAACTACGCTCGCGTTTCAGATGAAACACAGGGAAACTAGAGTAATTCAACTGCTCATTAATGTTCGAGGATCAAGTTTTCTGATTTGCAAATGATTCTTTTCTTGTTTTTGCATACGATGTCAATTCATTGAAGTCTTTTACATGTACCACTGATTGGTATTACAGCGATCTTCCGTCTCCGTAGGCGGTTCGTCTGAACATAGTCCCAAAAGGATCATTTTTCGGATTTCTATTAGTGAATAGTGTGTGACCGTAAAAATGCACTTAAAAAAGCATACAGAAAATGAAGCAATAAAAATATAGTGGAGAAAGCGTTCGGTCCTGATCAGTCTCTAAGGACTGCAGCATGCATGCGATTCTATTAGGCGTCATAGTGGTGATTGAATGCATATCCGGCCTACATACGCAGTGACGTACGGGGGCCCACCGATGTACTAATTCAGTATTTCTATCCTTTCAGAGACGCCTCTTAACACCGGGCGAACCTGGATCGATTAAGGATCTAAATTGCCTGAGGTACTGGATCGTACCAATAACCACGTATGCATTACAGGACGCCTCTAACCACTGTGCTACGCCCACCCCATAAAAATAATAGCTTCGATTATTGGGTACTTAGACTGCGTGCCATCACATGTATAGCGGGCCATTTTCTCTGTTCAGTGGGTTATGGCGTTGTAACTACCATTCATGAAGGTGGTCCCGTTTGCAAGTGAGTTCGACTTCGGTTTGAAAACTCGTAGTCCTTTCTCCTTAATGAGATACAGAGATAGTAAATTATTAGTCTTTTCTAGGAGGATAACAACACTGCTTTAATGCATTGCTAGACCCACGAAAAATTCTATAGAGCAAATACGAGTTCATCCATCTGTACGATGCTTTATACATTTGGCCTGATGGTCTCGAGATTTGAAAAGTTTAATATTTCTCAGATTTATAGGAGAGGCTTCAATCTATAGTCTTAAACACATGGATTTCTTTTACACTGTTTCCTTTCAGTTCTAAAAGCGTTTAGAAATGAAAGTTTCAAAAATTGATGTCGCAACTCAAATTATTAAACATTCAAATGCAAGAGTTGCATCTACAAATGTAAACATTGCATTGGGGAACACTATCAAGTCCTGGAGAAAAATGCCGTGGGTTCATTTGTCTTCGAATTCTGAATACGAACCTTGAAGCAAAAAATGCAAAGAATTATGTGTCACGGGCTCTGGTAAAGCAGAAATGCACTTTAGTAGCATAGCAAAGTTTTGCGCTATAGACAAAATTCTATAGATTTTAACTTCAATGATGCTGAGATATTTGCAAAACTCCAGGCCACAGGTGTCTGCGGTGGGGGACGAACGCGCTATTGACCTTTACGGGGAGTGACGCGTTCACCACCATACCATGCGGGTCCTTCGTTTCTCCTGTCTCTCAGCTAGTTCTATCGATCTTTTTGCCATCAGCAATCACCCGTCAGCGGGATTGATCTGGGGAGCCGAAATCGGCATTGAACCCAGTTAAGATGAGGCTTTAGTTATAATCACAATCTTAACCGTTTTATTTGCTGCCTACTCTTTTTAATGCCGAAACGAAAGACCCGCATGGTGTGATGGTGAACGCGTTACTCACTGGGAAGGACAATAGCGCGTTCGTTCCCCACCGCAAACATCTGCGGTCCGGAGTTTTGCAAATATCTCAGCGTCATTGAAGTTATATTTCGCAATATGCCATGCCATTAAAAAGAGTAACTGCAAACAAAACGGTTAAGATATAGATTTCAACTTTTATTCCGACAAATAGGATTCAGCGTGAACTGGTATATGACAAAATCACGTTGAATGCGCTTCTTAATTTCGCATCAATGTATCGCGTTCAATTCATCGGGGTCGTTGTGTGGTAAAAATAAGGTTAGCTCTCGCCGTTGATCATCTCTGGGGGTTGCGCCATGCATTCGATATCATTAGGCATTGTTGGAGGTGATTGAATGTATATCTGGCCTTTACAATGATTCGCAGTGGCCTATCGATGTATCGAGCCAGTGCTGCTATCCTTCCAGACAAGTCTGGTACCAATTTGCCAACCCCGGTAGGATGGACTGCCTGGTGATCCATGGGCGCGGGGTTCGATCCTATGTGTGTGTTACAGAACGCCTCCGACCACTGCGCAACACGCTCCCTCGTTGTGTGGTATTAGAATCTAAAGGATTTTGAAGGGCTGATCAACACCGAACGCTTCGCAGTTTTCATCTTTTACCCACTATCATGCTACTGAGCCAGTAAATTAATCTATTCATCTTTTTCGGAAAACATTTTTCGAACAATTATGCTGGCATGAATTAAATTATAACTCAAGTTCAGGTGCAACGAGGTGAATGGTACATTGGCAATCTAATGTGTGACATCTATATGGCGTCAGATGTGGCGTGTAGCACAGCGTCCATACTTCTTCTTGCTATTATCAGTTTTGATAGGTAATCTTTGGATGCCAACACTTGTCTATTCTAAACTTTCTAACAAAGTTAAAACTACTCTAACTATTCTAAGAGTAATTCAGTAAGTATGTGGCAGCAAGATCATAAATATACATCTCTTGGTGCAATCCAGTATTTGAAATCGTTGAAGATAAAGCTATCGTTTGATTACTCGGAAATCTTCCTCGTTCTTAGGTCGTCTCAAATCGTTGCCGTTATTTCAGGTACCGGGCAGTGTCGCGTCCGATTCAGTATTCTCGACAGTCGCAGAATATTCGGCGAGTGCTGGCGATGATTGGCGCCTCATGGATTGTTTCTCTACTGGTTGCCAGCCCAATGGTTTTCGGTCAGAGCACGCTTTACGTGTTGTTCAGTATTAAAGTCTAATACTGTCAACATTTGTTTAAGTCGACAATTGTTCTTTTTCTGAGCACCAAAGAACGAAACAAGCTTTCTACTAGGTGTTTCTTTTTATCGCAGCTACTTATGGAATTTCGCACTATTAGTCAGTATTAGTTTATCTTTATTCGGCATTGGACTTGTAAGATAAGGAGAAGGGCTTCCACGAAAAGTTTCCTAGCGGCTGTAAAGATCATCGGCAGCAATCGAAATCTAAAGAAAATACAAGAGGTCTGATTAGGAAGATAGCAGTTAACAAATTCGCGATTATGAACAACGATAATCGCTTGGTATCAAGATGGAAGCGCGTGTGGCTCAGTGGTCGGATGCGCTCTGAAACACACACGCATACATGGGATTGATCCACGTGCTCGTGGCTCACCAAGCCTTCCGTCCCTCCGGGTTCGGCAAATTGGTACCAGAGTTGTCTCGGAGGATAGCACCACTGACTCGATACCTCGCTAGGCCACCGCGATTCATCGTAAAGGCCAGATAGGCAATCAAACACCTCCAAACGATGCTTAATGAAGCCGAATGCATGGGGCATCTCTCGACGATTAATCAACGCCGAGAGCTTTATTTTCTTTTTTATCAAAATAGTGTAAAATCTTTTTTGAATTCGAGCAATGAACCGGTAAATCCTAGCAGGTGGTCTAGAGGATTACAGCGAGTAAGGAAATTCTTAATTAATTCAATAATCACAGAGATGCTAACATGTGGGCAAAATTCACAACCTCACTTGTGATACTGCTTCAATGCTTAATATGAGTTTAATAACAAAGAACGTTTTTCAGTGGCTTCTGATTTAATCCTATATTACCTCAACACGACATGCGTTGATGACCAAATGCGAAAATAACAAACGACGTAAAGTTAAAATCAGCAAATTTCAGTTCGTGGTGGACTTTACTTATTCAAATAAAAATAAAAAAGGATAAGGCTCTCGGCGTGTATGAATCGCTGATGGTGAGCAATGCATTCGACTTCACCAATCACCATTGTTATGAATGAATGTATATTTGGTCTATACGTTTTAAGTGGCCTACCGATGTATGTTTTTATCATTCCAAACAAGGCAGGCAGGAATTTACAGAAGTCGGAGGGATGGAGAGCCTGAACCTGGTGATCTTGGAACCCTGTACGATCCCATGTGTATTGCAGAGCGGTTCTAACCACTGCGCTGCACGCACCCTACTTATTAACATGGAAACACTATTCTACCGAAATTAAATTTCGACCTTTTGGAGTCAAAAACGCCGAAAACTAGCATCGAATCTTTGTTCTGAATAGATACTGTAGATTTCAGGTGTGAATGTACGCCCACCGGACGCAAACTCTTACGAGTGTCGCTTTTATAACGCCGAGTTCTCGATCGGCTCATCCATCATATCGTTCATCATTCCTTGTATCCTCGTGTTATTCGTCTATGTTCGTATTCTTATTACTCTGAAAAAGCGGGAAAAAGCCGCTAGATTACGTCGCATGAAGAACTTCCAACCTGGAGCGAGGTAAATTTGTCATTGATTTTATTAGAGATATGGCAAGCATCGAAACCACTCCGTGGTCGCATCACAGTGGTCGTTTCGCCACAAGAGATGGACGTTGAATTTCTTCCGGCTTTAGAAACCGGAGAGAGGCGCGCGTGGCAATTTACAGTCTTGGTAATTTTAAATAATAGCGCGCGTAGAGCTTGCTAATATCTCGCTGTGAAGGAAAACAGAAGAAAATTGAAGGCTTGAGTACTGAAATAGTAACCGCTAAAATACAGGGAGAAAAACGAGTGTTTTGACGGCACTAACATTCATAAGATTTTTCCTAAAAACGTCGTTTGCCAACCATATGAATGTTATTTAGGAATCTCAGTTGGCGAGATTTTAGACCTGGCTATCGTTATAATTTTGTCATATGCAAAGTGAGCTAAAAGCTACCTAGATGAATTAGTGGGTGTCTAAGGAGCGCAGCGCACGAAAAGTGCTTCTTGCTTGGACACCCACCAATACCAAAACCTCCACTGCTTTTGGCTTTCACGGTTTCCTGTAAGCTGTTGTGTTAATCAAGTTTCACTAATTTCGATATACCACCAATTAACCGACCCAGCCGTTACTGTCTGAGCAGAAATGAGAGCATAATGATACTTCGCTGTCGTAGGATTAGTTATCCATCTTTCTGTTGCTCGTCGAACCAGCTTACACGAAATCCTTCCATCTTATTTGGTCATTTCAATCTTCAACTCCGTGGTAAAATATTAGTATCGTCAGTTATTGCCGTTAACACGTGTGGACGATAAGGTCGAATGAAATGCGTGCAATGCCCATATACAAGAAGTAATCGGCGACGAGAACTTGATCTGTAAATGTAAATGTATTGTTGAGTGTCCAAGTGACTGGAATGGAGAAGTATGCTATTTACAACAAGAGACTGATATTAAAAAGGAAATCGTTTGCTTGCTTTTGTAGAATATGGCGATTCCGTTGAACTTTCGTAGCGTTATGCTTCTCTACTAGATCTGACCACTGCTTTCTACATAGATTCTCTGTAGATCCGATTCAGGCTTAAACTGGGAAAAAATTGTAACTATGAAAGAGAGGGCCGGAGAGTTGTGTTTGAATGAAATATGCTGAACGGGATCCTTTTCCTACACGACTATTAGCAGATCATGGGACAGCCGACTGAAGGCCAACAGGTTCTAGCTAGAGGACTCATAGCTACTTCGAACATGTCCCATATCTTGAACGGGACACGAATATCGTCTCTATCATCATCAAGAGGATAACCGATGAAAGAAGACTGAAGCCAAGTCTGACTAAATACACTTCATGATATTGGTAACAAATGTCAGAAAATATCTACGAGAGGATTTATAACTGTTCGTTAACACTTTAGCAGCTACGCATAGTATCCGGTTTGTTGCAGATTACTAGGCGGCACCTAGTTTTTTCCTTTTATGGATTTTCCAAATAAACAAGTATTTTTCGATACCAATGAATATGAATGGTATTTAAAGTGTTTTGCAACTTATGGGTCTCCATTTCAGTGTTTTTTTTATACCCGTACACTCTATAGGATAACTGTTACTCACTACAGCAATTAGAATCGAAGTGGTTTTGTATATTTCTAATACAAATATATCTACAGGTTCTAGATAGAGTAGATAAAGGATAAAGGATAAAGCTCTTGATGTTGATCAATTGCTGAGAGATGCATCATGCATTCAACTTCACTAAGCATCGTTCGGAGGTGATCAAATGCATATCTGGTCTTAACGATGACTTGCGGTGGCCTAACGATGTATCGAGCCAGTGATGCTATCCTCCCAGACAAGTCTGGTACCAATTTGCTGACCCTGGAGGGATGGAAGCTTTAGTGGGCCATGGGCGCAGGGATATGTGTAGTATCGAAATGTATAAATTTCTGCATATTTCCAAGTGCAGGATAGCGCTTTTCCGACCGACCAACGCCCAACACAGCGTTTGCATCCTACGTGCTATCAACTGATGGCAAGAAGTATAGGAAAATAGTTCTGTGTGTTAAATATAAATATGAGGCCTATGTGTGTTATACCGGCCACTACCGCAGAAATATTATGATACCTATAGGTGTGACTTTTTGCGAGAGTTAAGGATAAAACTGCTAGATGCATTAAAGAGGGAATCGGTCCTAAAAACCATCACTGGCATTCTTCGTCAATATTAAGTACGGCTATTATGCATCCCTAAATAGATCCACTATTCCACCCACCCTAGACCATGAAGAAAAAGTACGGTATGAAGAAAAAAGAATCGCCTTATTTTGGTCTGGAACCCTGAAAATTAGATGCGCTTTTCGTCACGAATATCCGATGGTATTTTCGTAAAGAAGACAATTCAGTCCAATGGGTGTCCGCGCGTACGCACACATCGCGCATAAAGGATGAGCGCAGGTATTTTTTCGTCACTAGTGTTCAGTTGGCTCATTACAGGCACTCTACAAGCTTTTAAGGACGTTTTCTTATCGCGCAAATCAAGAACTTTGGATAAGCCGGAACTAGTTCAGGAAGCGGATTTATGGCAGAAATTCCACTGCGCGGACCACGTCCACATCATAACTTGCCATTGAACTCTGTCGCCAATAACATTTAACCTTATTCTAGACTTACAGACTATGACGAAGCGTTTGGCTTTCCTAACAGCTTTCGTTGATCATAGAGTGACTGCACGTCCGAAACGAAGAATTCTAGCTAGTAGTGAAGGAAATGAGCGAAAATACCACTGAAGTTTTGCTGTCTGCATTGGCAAATAGGCATGAAAAAAGTAAAATCCTTTCGACCGGGGCGTCTTGACTAGAAATTCTTATCAAATCTTTGTTTATCCGACGTGATAATCTTTTCGATAGTGCCAAACAATGAATTCATTGAGCTCAGCAACGAGACAAACGACTGTGAATAAATCAGAAAATGCGTAGTTTTCCTGTTCAGCAATTGCGAGATTGTTATGCAGCATACATTTACTTCCTAAGAAAAACACAATACAATACAACAGTAACTGACGTTTCGGCAGTATCGCCTTCTTCAGAGCCTGGAAGGGTATACTGATATAGAACTACTAGGCCAAACGCTTCAATAACACTTACGAAAAGACGAAAAACTATAGTAATTACATGATCAACAGCTTCTCGAAAAACTTACCGCTTTTTACGTGACTTCCAATGGGGAAGTTTAGAACAGCTGATTATAGTCGCATATGGTTGATGACTGCACCATTCCACATCAGAAATTGATGCGAACATACGAGGTCAGGTCGGGTGTGACCTCTGAGCATTCATTCCTGCTATTCATTGTAGGGTTTTTAGCATTTATCCAAAAAGCCTCAAGAAGTTTCCGCGCTGGGGCATCTGATATGGGCGTTTACGAGTTAATTGATGACGAAAAGTATCGGGTGATATTTTAACGTTTTGATATTTAAAACAAAACGTTAAAACATTGTGATTTCAACTACAGCCATAGCTTAACTGGGTTCTACGCCGATTTGCGCTCCCCAGATCAACCCCGCTGACGGGTGATTGCTGTGGCAAAAAGATCGATAGAAATAGCTGAGAGACGTGCGAAACAAAGGACCCGCATGGTGTGGTGGTGAACGCGTTACTCCCCGGAAAGGATAATAGCGCGTTCGTTCCCCACCATAGACACCTGCGGTCCAGAGATTTTGCAAATATCTCAGCAACGTTGTGGTTGTATCGGGTGATATTTCAACTATCGCTACCGGCTCCTCTTGATCTGCCGATCTTAAGCATCGTTTTATTGCCACACTTACTTCATCGCTAATGAAAGGCAACACAAACGAGGTTTTATTTTGGCCACATTTTTCGTTTTAGCGAATTACTCTTTTAGGGAATTTTAAACTTCTTTCATAGGGTTGCAATTTGGTAGCCATTGGAGATGGCTATTTGCCGACCCAAGTCGCGCGATTCTTCCTTTAGTTCCCTGGTAGTGCACACAGAGGTGGCTGTTCGAAACATGTTTCTCACAAGCGCCCTCTTTGTGTGTGAAGTGTGGGAAGGAAGGAAATGAACCAGGATGTTTTTGCTACTTGATTTTCGGTACCACTTTATCATGTAACCGCAACTTGATAAGTTGATTTGAACGTCAAGAAATGGAAGCCAGGTCACTTTCGGTTTCTCTCGGATGAATTTAATATACTCAGACTGCCCATTCAATAATTCAAAGCATTTGTTCATCTCTTCTTGACTAGAGAAGATGACAAAACAATCATCCATGTATCTGCAGTAGAGTAGCGGTCGGAGATCGACAACCGGGGTTTCTATTTTAGGCAAGAACGCAATGGCGAGAGTTGGTGCCAAGCGCTGTCCCATTCCCAGCCCTCTAATTTGTGCATCTGAAAATCGAGCAGTTTAGGCACTCTTGTAGGAGAACCATAAGCTGCTGAATAGACAAGCCATATATATTTATGTTCAACAAAAAGTTCGTGGATGGTCTGCACGGCGGAGTCATTCGATACGTTGGTGTAAAACGCGGAAACGTCGAACGACTCTATCACTTACCCGTTGTTAGGAGTTCTAGGAACATTTGGGTGTTCGTGAGGTGAGCTGGATTATGGCTAAGCAGCTGGGTAGGTTTTCGGCCTAGAAACCATATTATTCTATCTGTTGGCCCGTCGACACAGGCGATAATGGGTTAAACCTTGTAGAATAAAGGGTTGGTTGACGCCAGATCATCAGCTGATGCCATTATGTGTTTTAATAAGTAAGTATAACATGGGACTTATTGGTCGATCTACTTTATAATGCGAAATAACGGATGGTTTCAACCCCGCCGCCTGTACTACTGTGATCTATTCATTGTTATGTTTCGGTATTGTCTTTTGTATGTCCTTTTCAGACGATGGGCGATAAAGGGCACCATAACTAAGATGTTCCTCCGTTATCATAACATCTAACTGCCGAGGAATAACTACGAAATCTTCTCTTTTATCACTAACTGATAGTCTAATGGTCTTCGAATTTACTAATTCTCTAAT